GATTTTGCAAGAGATAATTTTTCTTAAAGCAAATGGAAACTTTAAAAAGAACTGTAAAACAAAAGCATAATAACTATCTTATTTTCTGGTCCTTTTTCTAAACTAGACATTTCAAATTTGTTTTGTGAGATGGCAAGTATTTTAAAGGTAGACTGTTCTTTCTGATGGACAAAGTACATCTGAAAACCTTCCATCATCAAATTCCCTTTAAAAGCTTGATGAAAGAAAAAAATGCTGACATTTGGTTTTTTTCAAGACATTTTTTTCATCTTGTGTCATAACAAGAACTCTAGGATACATATAGTTTTTCTTCACAGTTTTGTGTTCAGCATAATTCCAGAATGTTAAAACAAAACGAACAACAACAACAATAATAATAATAATAATAATAATAATAGATTAATGAATAAGCAACTATTTCTAAGAAACAATTTTTTTTTTTTTACTTTCACAGCAACACCCAACATGGTTTGTTCCTGTATGTGGAAAGTATATACCCTTTACCAGCCTCCCAGATCCAAAACTAAAATTAATGTATATGTTAGCATGACTGAAATGAGAACACTGACATCTATAAACATGAAGTATGTCACCCAACTTGAGCCTCAAACTAGATTACTCATTTCAGTAATAATTTGTTTAAAAAGTTATTCTTTTATTACTGGACTGAAGCAAATTCAAGCGAGATTATGCTTCTCAAGGGAAAAGAAGCATTTGCTGAAACAAATGTACAACTTATCCGAGTATGCTGCAAAATCTGAAAATGTTTGTCCTCTGAGTCATATTAGCACAGTCCACAGATTTCCACAGTTCCTTCTCTAGCACATGTATCACCTGCATACATGAGACTAATACCTCTTTTGTGATCCACTTAAGCTTTTCATTACTAGATTTTAGCTGCTCCTAAATTTGGCTGTGATGGTCCTATCTCTTATAAGACAATTTCAAGCCCTCTTTACTAACTCTGATTAACCTGAAGACTTTAACATGTCCTTATGACTTCAGATTTTGATTTTAAGCTTCATTTTTTGACCTTTATGAGTCTCTGTGGTCTAGTTCTCCTACATCATAATAATTTATGGTTTTCTATATTCAGTGAAAATGCCTTCAGTCCTAACTCTCTGGTCACCCATTTTCATGTATTAAGTGCACTTCAGCAAGAGATGCATCTTTAAAATATCATCATGGTTTTCTCTCTTTGAAATATTTATATGGATCAAAAGATTTATCATTATTATTTTATAAAACGCTAGGTTGGAAATAATAGCAGGGAACTCAGTATACTAAGTCTTGATAAAAAATCCTGAAGTGTCTTGGCTAATATCTGCTATAAAACAGATAAAGCCAAGAAACCAACTGATGAGAAACATTCCAAAATTAAAACACAGGCAGTAGCCTCCTGCTGTGATATTACAGCCTAGGAGCAATATTATCAAACCACAAGGAAGAAAAACTGTTCATTAAAAATTGTGTGGTATAAATCATTAGGTGGACACAGATGATAGCCATTATTATGGTAAATGCTGCAAAACGAGGACACCCAAATAGATTAGGATTGGCTATACTGCAGTTTCACAGCCTGGTTGTAGACTGGAAAACAGAAGAGGCAGGTTCTCCTAGGAAATTAAATCTGGTCCCCTAATACTGCTGGCAAACACACTGTAAGACTGCCTTTCTCAAGCTGTATAAAAACAGTTGTTGTTGTTGTTTTTCTCCCACGATTCCCTATTGAAAAACGGCTCTAAAACCAAAGAATCGGCATAGTTGAAAGGGGTCCCAAGACAGCATTTAGTCCACTCTGCACCTCTGATGCATCAAAAATTTCTTTTCATTTCAAGATGAAATGAAGCCTAACATAGTTACTATCTTCTTGAATAATATGTTTGCCAGTCCTCTGTCCTCTAACTGTTTTTCTTTTCCACTTCACAGGCCACAGCCGAAGAGTGCCTATGGCAACTCATGCTGTTCAAACGTTGTGAAAGTTTTACAAAGTTCAACCTCACTGAAGAAGGAAAACAAGAAACCTGGAGAGTCTCTTTATAGTTTAAAGCTATCATCTAACAGTTGAAAGGGAGAACTGGGCATTTTAAGTCTCTGACACTATTTTCAGCTATGCCTTTAATTCACTTGGTAAACGTTTGGCTCATAACACGTTTTACTCCAGACGAAATAAACAGTAGAAAAGGTAGAATTACTTTCACTGCAACTCTTACTGAGATTATTTAGCTTCCAAAGTACTCAGAGATAGTCAGAATATGAGTTTTTTTGAAATAAATTAAATTCACTAAATATCGTGCACAACCCAAGCTGAGTATCACTACAACCAGTAAAGAATGGAAAATAGTTGTAATAAGACACATTAATTTCTCCTTTATTCACTATGGTAAAAATTCGTAATTCTGTTTTAAAAGATACATACCTACAACAATAAAAACAAAAAATTGGTTTAAGTACACAAACATTTGATAAATAAAAAAGTTTCATATGCATGCTCCTCATTCATAGGATTTTATTAATATAAATATTTAATCCATTCAATAATTACAAGAAGGCATAAAAATATTTCCAATTGCTCTTTCTTACATTAATGAAATAAACTCTTAAAAGCAATGAAGTACTTTCTTTTCCAGGTACACTTAGCGACAAGGTCTTGCTATGGCTGCAAAACCTCTGAGTCAAGACAGACAACTCAAAAGTTCAAATTCACTGAAACTTAAACAGAACAGAGACTTTATACCCAAATCCTTTGTCTTGAAGAACACCAGGGTTTACAGAGGATTTCTACCCTGGATGGCTTTCCATTGGTGCCTAAATTTTAGCAACACAGCTGTGTATTCCAAAGCTAAGGGTTTTTTTTGAAACCATCAACATAGTAGCTTTCTAATTAATAAGGAATCTTCAAAACATTTCCATAGCTGAACTGGTAACTATTCTGTGACACAGCAGGGGATGTGCTAAAACTGTTAACAAATTACAAGCCCAAATAACACTGATCTCAAATCAGTTACAAAATAGGAAATTTTTGCACTTAAGGTTTTCCTACTTTCCTCATGGAGCTTTCCAAGAAAATTAGAGCTACGTATTTTCCATTTCAGACCATGGGAAGATGCTGTGCAAAACAAAATACTGCTTTCTTTCAAAACATTATTTTGAGATAAAGAGGGATGAGACAGAAAACCTTCATATTGTGCTGTTTTCTGTGCTTGTCAGGAAGGTTTAACAATAGTTCTAGACCATATGTCTGCTTTTTGTGTACCAGTAGGGGGAGACAAATATTTTGGAAAACTGGATATAATTCTAAGTTATTAGGTTAATTCTTAAAGTTCAGCTGAAACAAAAAACCAAACCTGTTGGATGTTTTCAATCTACTGAAAATGAAATTCTATCACTAGAATAAATTTTAAAAAGAGGACAAATCCTGGGAAAATGCACAAAAAGAAAAAGGTAATAAATTATCCTTTCTTTTGTATTTAATTACTGCCAGTCTAACAAAGAGACCACAGATGATGACAACCTCAGAATTTAGCCTACTCTCTGAAATTAAGGCATGTAAAAATTGGTTTTATATGCGGAAAAAAAGTACTGTTCTTCTGCCTCTTTAATATCCTGAAACAAAACTGAGTACATGTTTCTCAGTGTGCAACGTTAAGCCTGGCCACTGAACATAAAAAGTCTCATTTTAGCTTTGAGCTGTGCTTATTCTTGTTCACTGGTGAGACTAGCAGCACCATCTGTCATTCACCAGCAGAATTTTTCTTCCACAGTTTTGGCCACTTCATATTTCCACCTAGGTTTTGCTTTCTGAATAAATATCCCCTTCAGTGACAATCTGAAACTAGTTTTAAAATTATCATGGAAGAGCACCCCAAGGTTCATCTTTTGACATGAACCTACACTTGCTAAGACTTTGCTTCAGCTTCTAACACTGAGGTTATCTTCCTAGCATGCTGGAGTGAACATCACCCTTCTCTCTACATGTCTCTACTGTTTGTCTCGCTTCACCCATATACTATTATGCATCATCCCATTCACCTTCAAGAAAACAATGTCCCATTTTGATGTTCCCATCGCTCAAAACCTACTTCCTCTATTTGTTCAGATATAAGAAAAACCACCTACAAGATTTCCCATATGTTTTTCTTAACAAATTGGGTATCCATAAAGCACATCCATATATTAAAATCATTCCACTGTAGCTTAAAAGCCTGACAGCTCCAGGTGGCCGCTGTGCTGATTACTATTGGTATCTAATCTTACCTTAACATTTCTCCAGTGCTTCCGTGTATTCACTGATTGGCTTCTTATGTATTTAGATGTGCAACCTATCTTTTTCTCTGCTGTACAGAACCTGACATGATGGAGTCCTGGGCTCATAGCTAGAGTTCCTATGTACTCTGGTCATAGAAATAAAACCCATCATTAACCCACAAGGACACATCTGCACTAACCTTGCCTCAGGAAAGTAATCTTCTAGATGACACTGTGAAAAAGCTGAATTATATATATTTCTGATTGATAAATTGTGTGTATTTCAGCACATCCAAGAAACACAGAGACAAAAATAGTCTGGTGACTACTTAGGGGTAGAGCTTATAGACATACACAGATGCTTTATCACTAATGCCCTATGGACATAGGGCATTAGTGATAGGACAAGAGGAAATGATCTGGCACAACTTGATCTGGCTTCAAGTTGTGCCAGATCAGGTTTAGATTTGACATTAGGAAAAATTCCTTCACTGAAAGGGTTTTTGTCGCAGTGGTGGAGGCTGTTGTGGGGGGTGGTGGTGTCGTCGTTCTTGGTGGTGTTTTTTATACTTGTTGTTGTTGTGGTTGTTGGGGGCGTTTTTTGGTGGTGTTGTTGGCGTTGGTTTGTTGTTTGTTGTTGTTGATCTCAGAGGTCTTTTCCAACTTAAATGATTTTATAATTCTATGGCATAGGGACATTCATGGCATATGGCCATAGGTATGTGCTGATGGGAAAACTGAAAATTACTCACCACGCTGCAGCCAGGGCAGTCAAGACCATTTTCACATGTCCTACGCCGTGCCTGGATCCCTCCTCCACACTGAGCAGTGCAGCGCTCCCATGGACCCCAGCTTGTCCAAAATACATGAGGGGGGCACAACAAATGCTCATTGCAGTACCTGTGAGAAGAGACAAACAAGGAGGCAAAGAACTTATTTAATATCAATACAAGACCTCCCTGAAAAGCCCCTCATTTGCAAAATTCAGATAGATGTTTGTACAAGGAAGTATTCTATACAAAGGGCCTCTCGCTATTCATCAAGCACTGAACTAACAGTTGTCACACTGCACAGAGTGTTTAAACATTTGAGGGTTTGTATTTTTTTTAGGCTGCAATTGCGTGGGTGAAGCATTTGTTTGCTTTATTCAGTGACTATACAATCCATGCAATGTAACCATGCTATTGTACTGCAAGCACGTAAGGAAGATTGAAAACTACTTTATTAAAACCAGTTGTGGCTATACATCTGGGGCAGTCAAACATTTAGGCAGGCAGTCTTTTATCAGTCTCCAGCTAAGAATTGATTAGGATCCATCTCTCTCATCTTCAGAGAGCTAAACTTGCTTTTTGCTTTCCACAGCGTCTCTGCTTTTATGGGCAAAATAAAAGTTAAAACATTGATTCTAGGCATAAAGAACTGTACTATTTTCATGATGTTATTACTTTATCTTTTAAAAGGTGTTTTTAGCTAGTATAATCCTTGAAGGATTTCCCAGTAGGCTACAAACTGATTCAGGGGCCTAGTAGGTTCTCGAGGGAGGCAGGAATATTCTAATACTGAGCTGTCATTATTGTAACAAGACATTCAGACATGTGGGAAGGTCTCAACTTTTAGTGAGCTTTTTTATTTTTTGTAAAAACCAAAGATTCCTGATTTTTCGAGCGTGCCATCCAAAAACTCTAGCCACAGGAACCTCTACACAGGTCTAAAGGATTTGGGCCACCAGCAAGTGTGATGAGGGGTCTCTAAGAGACCAAGCTCTTCAGATGAAACAAAGCCACAGCAGATAGAAAACAGACAATCCTGAAGGTATGTTCTAATATTTTATGGATGAATCTGGGTAGCTCTTGCTATAACTACTGACTGTTCTGAACAAATAAATCAATCTGTTACAGTATTTCCTCTGTTTTTACAACAGCCATCCAAAATCCAATGTCTTCTTTTCCTTCTAACAGGTTTCCATCACTTTGCACTCTCCTGCAATGAAAACTGACTCTAATACTCCAGTTATTCATTTCTACAAAAAGAGAAATGACAGCACGAACAGTTGTCATTTATTGCATATGCTGGAGCCTGTGATTTAAACTTTGTCCCTAGGTCTGAGCAACTCCATCAAAATTTAAAGGTGGGACTGGGGTAAACAGGGCAGTGACAGTTTTCTGTTTCTGTATAACTAAGAAAATTATTAACAGCTTGTGCTGACCTTTCCTCAGCAACCTGAGGAAAAAACTCCCCAACCCTCAAAATTTATGAATCTGGTGTCTCAGAATTCTTCAGTGCGTGATTTGGGTAAATGCTTTGCAGTAGTAGCTTATACATAAACTACCTTTTTTCCCCCTTCTGCATTGTTCAGTATTTGCAGTTCACAGTTCACATTATCCCATCATTAAATAAGTATAGGAATGTTCTGCACCTGGGTATTCTTTCCCTAAAACTCCAACAACTGAACACATTCTTTGTCACATGCAGTCATTTATGTGAATGTTTGTGACAGTTTGTCTCTGGGAGCATTTGTTGAGAATATGTACTCATGTAACATCAGCATTTATTTAGTCAAATTAGTACATATTTTGCATAATTGCATTAGTTCTTAATGAAGATGTGCTATGTTAATTTGGGACACACACACAGCAGGGCAAAGTAAGTCTGCCATAAAGCTGAGAATTATTGATGTTCAGCTATGCAAAAAGTAAAATTAAGGAACTCATCTTGCCTTAAAATATAGGCATGTACAGTGTAGCTGTCTAAAAATGAAGTAGTCATCTATACTTGAGCAACAGATCATGGAAAGAAACAGCCCTGCTAAAAATATTATTTATGTCACCCTATGTCTAATGTAGGTCATATAAATACATCCCTCAGTGTACAGATTTCTTTTCATTGACTATAAATGCTGCATGGGAAATGGACATCTAAGCTCCCATTACAGACAATGGAAATTTGGTCAATACAAACTATGATGATTAGAATGATTAATTTGAAGAAATTTAGGAATATACAGCAGGACACAAATTACTTTTCTCCACAGCCTATATTGACTAGATTTCTACAGACCATAGTGAAAGTTCAGGCAGCTCATGCACGTATAAGCACTCGCATTTATGAACACCTGAAGTTAGGTGTGACAGATCTTGCTTAGATGAGAGATGCCACAATGCAGTGCCTCTTTTAGTGCCTATGTGCCCTATCACCCACTCTCTCATTTAAGCAGGACACAGAAAAGAAACCTAATAACTGACACAGTAAGCACTTCAAAGCCCTGGCAATTTTGTTAACCAAGACTATTCGAAGATGCAGATGAAAAAAGCTCTAAAATCTCTATGCAAACTACTTCAGTTTAGGAAACAATTTTTTAAAAAAGCCAACACCAGAAGTGTCAATTTTTCCTTTTCTTCACGAAAAGAAAAAACAAAACCCAACACAGTGTACAAGTAGAATCTAATTTTCATTTCAGCCAGCCAGCCAGCCTCTGAAAACATCAGGTATGTTTTCACAGCTAGAGACATCCCTGCAATTGATCTTTGAGAGCTGTGCTACAGCATGGGTCTTTGAGCCAAGTTTCATTATATCTGTTCTTGGCTGCATTTCAAGTCACTCAGCAACCCTTTTTCCCTTTTGCTCTTTCTTCCCCTCTTAATTTTGTTCTCAGGATCCACTGGGCTAACATTTTACAGTAATTCAACAAAACATGCAACAAACTTGAATCTGTGAAACCAGTGCCCTCTCCCCTAACTTAACTGCAATGAGGTCAGAAGGGAGAACAGCCTAGAGAAATGTGGGTTTTATATTATGACCCTTCATGTTTTCCCTTGTTGTGAACCCAAGTTCAAATGCCTTAATAAAGGAATTGTCATACTGGGGGAAGGGAGAACATCCTATGTCCAGTTTTCTCCACAGCTACTAGTTCCTACAGTAAATTTTACACCAGGCAACTTCAGTACAACTGGCATTACTATTCTTGTTCCTATAAAAATCTCAACCTTTAGTAAAACATCAATTTATGCAATTTATGTCAGTGTTGCCATGCAGCCCTGAGTACTACAGGCACAACAGTTACAAATGTGTCCTTTTTATTCCACAGAGAGATGTTATTTAAACAAATACTTCTTTATTTTGAGCTATATTATACTACCATGTGTTTAAGAAAAACAAACTAGCCTTCCCATTCCTATGAAACGTACTGTTACGTGGTGGGTAGTTGTGATTACCAGCTGGTGGCTTACTGGGAAGCACAGACTATACTGAGGCTGATGGGAATGTCAGATTTCTTTAGCTGAAGGCAGACACATAACACACACATGCCCTATGGGACTGAAATTTTTGAATTGGCAGAAATACCTACCCAGGAGACTATGGATGGTGGTAGGAGCTGGGACATGTGGTCCCAGGGACTTTAGTGGAAGAGGAGGGTGCAGAGAAAGCAAGGAGGACTGGAGTTCCCACTTCCTAGCAGACAAGACGTCCATGGGACTGCAAGCAATCCTAAGGCCTTGTGGTGTTTGATCTGCTCTGCTGAAGAGAACTGGGCTTGTTCACACTGCTCAGAAACAAGCAGTGCTACAGAGAGCAGGCATTTGACTCTCAGCAGTTCCTCTTTCTCATGGAAACAAGCTCAAAAGCTGAATGTCTGTTGAGGATTGTGTACAAAAAAAGAAAGGTGACAACATCTACTGCTTCTAACCTTCTTATACACCCCATAATATCCAGGGCTTTCAGAGGTTTACTCCTCATCTGCAGCCAATTTATTTTTCTAATTGCCATTTTTTTTTCTTTCTATTCTCTCCTGTGTAAGAAAAGATAAATACACCCACTGAAAGCAATTTTAATGTCCTCCATGTCTGCACAGATAGGAGGGAGACCAGTGGACTTAATGAGGTCATAACTACAGCATCTTCCACAGAAAGGACAAACATTCTCATTTCATGATAATGTCAAGACAAGATACTACAGACTCTGTATACAAAGATCTAGAGAGTTTTCCAGCAGCTTCAGTGAATATTTCTCATACAGGAAAAATCAGAAATTTTTAAGCCCCTAAGGATTTCATCAGGATGTCTTCCACCTGGAGTCTTGACTTCAAAATTATTATCTGATTAGCAAATTTTCTTACAATGTTATTTTTACTCCCTCTCCATATTCTGCCTAAATGCACATCAGCTGCACTTTTAACCTATTTTTACAGGGGAAATTTGCATTGTAACATGAGTATTTGCTGCTATCTCTCAGCTGCTTTCCACCCCACACACACCCCTTTAGCAGCAGATCATGCAACAGCTTAACCTATCTTCAACACTTTAAATTGGTAAATATTGCCATTGATTTCAAGAGAATGACCAGCAAGCACAGAACTGCCCGATAGATTAGCCATGATAGGATCATGGCTTTCATGCAGTAGAACAAACATAACCTAAACAAACACTTAGCTCTTAACACATGAGCAAATACTTTAAAGATGAATATATGCATTCACATCTGCAGGTGAATTTACCTCAGATACACACTGCCTTTTCTGTGTTTGCTTTCTAAGGAGTTATGTACTGGATTTCTACTGAAATCACTGTTTGCTGAAAAGCTGTTTTAAGGTTTGTCATGATGTTGGCTGTGGAAACTGAATCCTACCTTTATACCCCTGAACATGTGAACGTGATTAAAGTATGTGTGTTTATAAAGACAAATGCACACAATGTGTAAACCAACTAATTTAAATTTTTACTAAGACTGCACATATTTTCATTTTACACATGAGTTGGGTCATTAAGAAAGTAAAATGCTAGGATATTTAGAAACATCGATTGATTTAAATGAGAAAATCTGAGAAGTTGTTTTTTGCACTTTGGATACAAAAACAGTAAATGTTTCTTAGGATTTACTGCACATGTAATATTTGTTCAGCCTGCCTAAATGTACTGGGCTCAATTCTCAAAGGAACTGTTTCCATTTGGTGCAGATGTAACTCCAATAGGAGTGAAATGGTCAATTAGGACTATTGCAAATACTGGTACTCCATTGCCCTCCCAGCTAAAAACTCACTACAAGCTGTAAGAGCCATGAGGACACTCATAAAGCCCTAATGGCCCCAATCAGCTTCACCTGAACCCCTGTCCACACCCATGGGCCAAGAAGCTCTATTCAACCTGATCCTAACCACAGCTTCTCCCTTAGCTTCCTACCTGGACCTACCTGGACCTCTCTTATTGCCATGATATCACCTATGATACAGGCTCTTGGTTGGATCTGGTCACAATCTCCAGGCTTGCCCTGCTCCCCTGCTGGGGGTGGTGGGCTGGGCCCTGGCTGGCCAGTTTCCCAGGACTCTCTGCTTTTTACAGCTCTGAAAAGATTTGTTCAAGTACTTGGCTTAACACTGACAAAAATCCTGGCAAATAACTGATGCCTCATTCCTCTAGCTGTTTTACAAATTATTTGACAGAATTCCCTAACTTATCACACCCTCTGGAAAAAAAACCCTACTTAAAATGTTATAAAAGTATCAGGATACAACAGAGATGACAAACAAAACTAGGATAGAGGGAGGAAGGTCAGCTGTGAGCAAGCTGTGAGCAAGCTGTGAGCGAGAGGAAGGTGCAGGGCCAGTGAGAGTGAACAATGTTTCAAGGAGATAGGAAAGAGTGACAGAAGAACTGAGAGAAACAGGCATCCTGCAGTAAACTCACAGGCACATACATCCCAGATTGCTGCTGAACTAGACAAAGAAAGAAAGGACAAATAACCCACAGGCTACGAAAGCAAAGCAACATAAGCCTATTGTTCCTTCAGAATTGTTATATACCAAAATTCATTCCTTATTAGCTGCCATTATTTCAACTCATCATAAGTACTACTTTCCATTTTGTAACTGCTTTTACAGTGCACCCATTGTCTTAACACTCAACATATTCTGCTATAATTAAGAAAATATTTCCCACAGTATTCTTTATTTCTCTGAAACCTCTTGTTGGACTTTTATTCCATGTGAAACTAAAACGAACAATGACTACTAACATCTACAGTCCATCACCAAAAAGTCTATCTAAGCTAAACTACTTTTTTCTATATTTAGTCTCGTTGTGTCCTGCCCTGGACTGACCTCTCAGACCAAGAAAATCAATAACTGTTATTCGTGCTGGGACAGAACTAAGTAACAGCAGATAGAGTCTACTTTGGTGGTGATGGCTTTTTGGTTAGGCAACCTATTTTCAGAAAGTAATTTACAAAATAACAAAATGCTCTCCACTGTGATGAAATGACAAATATTCACGGCCCTAAAAAAGCAAGGAATGTTTATGTGTTCTGCAATACTGATCCTTTAAGAGTTAGAAAGACTGGTGATCCATTAATGCATAAATGTGTGATGCAACAATGCAATTGCTTCAATGAATCTCTTAATCTGAAGAAATGCCAGAGTTGATGTTCAATTAAATGCCTCACTGAAACTCATCATAAAGATTACTGAACTTTGTTTTCATCCAACAGCAATATAGGATACTACATCATCCATACAGAAACACTGAAGTAAGCTCTAAGTGCATATTGAGAGGAATTGTATCCGCATACATCTCTTAGAACTGATGACTACAGGACTCCACATTCTTACACCAATACCAGTCTTCTGCTATCTAGCCTTCTGGTATGCCTCTAGAAACAACATAATGCACACAAGAGTTGCAGTTTATCTTTATATATTCTAGCTTGATTTAAAGAAATATTTAATTCCTATTAAAACTGCGAACACAAAAATTAAGAGACGTTAGGGTGCATGTAAAATGGACTGAAAGGCCTGAACTTGACATTCGGAGCTAGTGACAAAATACTTAGTCTGGTGCCAAAGCAGTACATGATGAAATCAAAATCTGAGCTGACTTTATATGCTCAGGGATTAATATATATACAAACGATTAAAAAAAAGCCCAAGCATGAAACCTTACTAAAAGATATTTGAGTTCATATTTATTGAACAGAAAACAAAGCCCTTGAAACTTCCTTTCATGTTATAGAAATGCTTAATTCATCTATGACAGAAAAAAATGAACTCAAAGCATCAGTAACATAGTGCTGTGACCTTATTATATTTTGCTCTGAATTCTTGTCTTGAGGCTGGGCAAGTTACAATTCAAACACAGTGCAATCAATTTTCAAGGAGAATCAATTTTCAGGGTCTCAGGGGACAACAGCACGTTGCTTCAGCAGAAGCAACTGGCACCACCAGGAGCTCTCAGGTGGCTCAGAAGGGATGAAGCTAAGTGAAAAATGAAAGATCTGCTGCAGACCCACAGCGTTGTTAATGAGAATACTGCTACTGGACAGCAGTGAAGTTAAAGAGAGTGAAAGGAAGGGGAAGAGAAAACCAAGGCAAGTAAAAGAGAAAATGTCTTATGGAATACAACTGAGCAGAAGAAATTAAAACAGACAATAGAAGAAAGATAACTCACCTCTCCTCACGATTCTGTCCCACACAGACGCGTCCTCCATGGCGCGGGGTTGGATTGCTGCAGGAACGCTGACGAACTTGAAAGCCTATTCCACAAGTGGTACTACAAGGTGACCAAGATGTCCATGGTGTCCAGCCTCCATTTCTGGTAGAATAAAAAGCTCAGGCTCTGTCATCTGTTATACATAGCGAATGGCTGATTAGGTGTGATTGACAGCAGAATCTGGCCTGTTAATATATCTGTAGAAGTCATTAATAGTGCATTGTGTTCTATTTCTTCAAGAATACTGAACAAAAATAAAGGTACTCTGACCATTCCATATTCTATGCTTTGTAATTAGCAACTGCTAAAATTACCCTGTCACACAAGAACTACAAAGTTATGAAGCTATTTAGTTGCTTTTGGTCACTTTATTCTGGGTAAACTTCATATGCAAATTCTCGTATCAAAGTTCTGAAGATAATTTTTAATTATATACTTTTTTCAGGAAGAATAAAGTGTCAAATTTTGCTACCCCTTCTGAAAGTAAAGTGATTAAAGCCTGGAGGAAAAGGAGGCCCAGAGGACCCCATATTGCTCTCTACAACTACCTGAAAGGAGGTTGTAATGAGGTGGGGTTGGTCTCTTCTCCAGTGTAACAAGTGACAGAATGAGAGGAAATGGCCTCATGCTGTGCCAGGGGAGATTTAGATTGGATATCAGGAAAAATTCCTTCACAAATAGGGTTGTCAAGCATTGAAGTGGTGGAAGAAAAGTGGTAGAGTTACCATCCTTGGCGCTATTTTAAAGACATGTAGATGTGGTGCTTAGGGACATGGTTTAGTTGTGGACTTGGCAGTGCTTATTAATGGTTGGACTCAATCCTGAGGGTCTTTTCCAGCCTAAATGATTCTATGATTCTAAAGGAAAAAGAGTATTAATTAAGTGTCAAAATGCATTAGTTCTCAGTTTCAACAGGATACTCTGATAAGGCGTCAAACCTTTTTTGTAATATAACAAAAAAGCTAACAGAATTCACATGCTGTACCTTGTATTTGGGAACTTTGAGAAAGGATGCTCCCATTCCTCCCTAATATACCATAGAAAAAAAATTATTCTAATTAAGTTAAAAACTTTTAAACCATAAATGATAGAACCTGAAATTGTGTTGTATACCTGGAACAGTTGGCAATCTCCATAGTTGGTCCTTCACACAGCCAACCTCCACACTGAGGAGCAGGACTGTCACACACACGTGTCCTGCAGACGCAGGAGCCAACACTGGCACCGTCAGTGTGGGTGCAAGGTTTCCACTGTGACCATGTTCCAAAATGTCCATCCACTGTCAGATTCCTCATCTAGAAACAAACACAACAGAAAAGCTTACCTGAGGTCTGACAGTTCCTTCATAAAACCTCTTTATTTTGCAGTGCATGACGGTTCAGCCTTCAGACATCAATAATAAAAGCCTCCTCTGGAGAGGTATAACTTCCAGACAGCAAGCTCCCCTTTTAATTTCTGCAGCTGCATAATTTCCATGACTTCTGACCGATATGAGCCACTGGATGTCAACACTATAGCAATAACAGTAATCACAACTAACTGTTACCTTTCACATTCATGCTTGCCTACAGGGAGTCAATGGAAACTATAGTTTCAGTTTCTCCATTGTCTTCTGATGACTGTGTTCCCTACTTTCTAAAATTTTCCTGTGAAAATGAAACCTGGATACTGACTGTAAAACCCAAATCTAGATCAAAAGGAAGAGGCAGCAGAGGATAAGGAAAAAATGAGAATACTATGAGGATGGTGAAGCACTGGAACATATTTCCCAGAGAAGCTGTGGATACTCCATCCCTGGAAGTGTTCAAGGCCAGGCTGGATGGGGCTTTGAGCAGCTTAGTCTAGTGGAAGATGTCCTTGACTTTGGCAGGGAGATTGGAACTAGATGATCTTTAAGTTCCCTTCCAATGAAACCATTCTGTGATTCTATGATACTGTGATAGTCCAGCGTAACAAAACTGGATCAATCAAACTCAAATCTCCATCATGAGTGTCTCTTTTTGACAACAGTTTTTTGAGGCATATAGTACCATTTCATAAAAGTGAAATGTGGTTTTAAATGACAGATGCTAAGCATCAGATGTAATTATATGTATAAATCCTATAAACATCTGCAAAAAGCAGCACCTAACCCTACATGATGAGACAGTTTGTCCCTGTAGAATTCAATTCTCAACACCTTTGGCTGGAAGAGTCACACCATTCTTATCTTGCTTGGAATGTTTCCACCAAGCAGTCATAACACACTTAATAAGAAATCTTTACTGTCCAGCTGAAACAAAATGAGCTAATGGAAAGTGCAGCAGCCTCCATGGCTACTGGAATTTCTAAAGAAAATGGGGAGGGACAACAGCTCTCAACAAAAACAGACTTTCATATTATCCTTTTAGCACCTTGACAAATCTGTGATCCTAAATAGAAATGATGGCCACTTTTTCACTTAAATGCTATGGGATTTGTCTTTTGATTGCCAGATTTTAACTTTCAGTCAAGACAACAGTACTAACAAGTGCAGGCTAAATAGCATTTAAAGTGACTCGTAGTTGAAAATAAATATGTATCAGTTGTAGTCATGCATATTTCATCAAATGTGTATGAACATACCAATATAATATTTGCTTATATATTGAAATAGGAATTACAGTTGTAGGTTGTCATAACTGATCTGAAATGGTGTCTCCCTTTGCTATTTTGAGTACTGTTTCTTTTTAACAGTGGTAAGAAAAGTATACATTTCAAAAATAATTTGAAGATACAAGAGATTCAATTACAGCACAAGACATGCTTTCTCTGACACACTGGGTGTTGGCTGATTCATTCCACTGTGGCAAAGATTCCATAATTTCACTATTAATTACCTTTCTCACAATTTTATTTTTCACAGATATAGCTTGTCCATGGAACAGCTACATGCATATTCTGTAATCTATAACTGACATAACCACCATTCATAATTTCAAAATTCTGCTGACAGATGCTTATTGAAAATAATTCACCCACCTTTATTCATGCAGATTATACTCTGTTGGTTTTCATAAGACAACGGGAAATACTTACTTCTCTCTTACACTTCTAGTCTAACAAATATACACAATTCATAAACTAACAATTGTATGTCTCCAATCTAATTAGCATCAGAGATGTGAAAATGCCTTTATGGTTTTCTATTTCTGTGCTGGACTAAAACATCTTTATTGTTGCACCTACAATTATAAACTAAAGCTACAGTTGTCTATGGTTACCATAATTTATATTAAGTGGCAGGGAAAGTATACATAAAACATAGCTGAAAGCTTGAGCTTAGAAACATAAACTGGTGGCATATTTCTCTCTCTTCATTTTTTTTTCCCCTGCTCCTGAAAAGATCATCCCACTGTGGTCTCCGCTGTCCCCCGAGATTCACCTGCTCTGCCTCTCCGTGAGTATTTCCCTTTCGGAAGTGTTATCAAACAATTTCATCATATGACTACAGGAAAGCAAAATGTAGTGATGAGGGGCCTTTTTAGCCCTTGCCAGAATCCATGTCCATTAACCTTTCACAATCTGACACACCTCAAGGGCAAAATCACAATCAATCAGACAATATGGCTGTATTATCCTGGCACAGCTACAATCTGCTTTCTCTCTCTAACACCCCGTCTTTGTCACCCTTTCCCTTCTGTAGATATCTCTAGACCTTTCTTTCTTTCTCATGTCCTCCAAATATCAATCTTTGCCTTGAGTCCTTCTGCACCCACCTTGTCTTCCTGGTTTGTACTCAAAGGTCACATCTTCAGTGACTCAGTTCTTAAATCTGTCACGAGATCTCTGGTTTGAGATTACTTTGTGTAGAATGCAGTGAATCTGGAGTACCTACTGAAGCTGTTAATGAATTCAAGTAAGATCCCATACTACACTCTTTCTCTGAGCACAACCATAAAAATAAACCCATTTCATGTTGCATACTTATGTTACAAAAAATAAAGCCAAAACGAAACAAAAAAACCCCAAATATTTTTTAGAATAATTTTTATTTTCCTTGTAAAAGCTTTTTGATAATGTCAGTGTATCTTTAAGTGACAGATTGCAAGTCCCACTGGAAAATATTTCAGAAAAACAATTAACCTTCATTACCATCAAAAATATTGGATGAATAATAGGGATAACTGACTGACTGAAAGAAGCTTGAAGTAGATATATGTGCCATAGAATTAATTACTATCTATATTTATATATTTATAAATTTATATCTATATTTATATTTATGCCAACCAAAACAATAACCTAAAATCAAATTGAGAATTAAAATCAAAGCAAGATAACCAAAAGAACCACATCTTTCACAACTGATTTTCAAAGTTCAGAGTGATGGTAACACAGATGCTCAGCTACCTCTCCTAGTCCCATCCCTGCTCTACCATGACATGCCAATAAATATTCAGCCATATGAATAATGCCCTAGGAAGAAATTTCTCAAAGGCAACTGATCACACTTTTTATTCTGGGCTAAACTAGTGTATAAACAGACCTCTCTGCCATCCAAGTTTAGAAGAAACTGGTCATGCATTAATCTAAAAAAGTTTCTATAATGTTAAAGAGATGAATGTAATTTTACTAACAATTAAGATATTGGAAACAATCGGCACCAGAAGAGGGAGGGTAAAAGGTTTCAAATAGCCCTTTATGTTCTGCCTGCAACAATATCTTAAATATATGTGGCCCATATTAAGGATGCACAAAATTGAATTCATTACATCTTGGCTTATATATCCTGTGAACACAGCACATAAAAATGCCATAAAAACAAATATTTGAAAGCCTCTCTAAGCAAAATTGTAACTGATTTCAGTTTGCCAGAATACAGTGTTATTTTAAAGGAAAGTTTCTATAAAATTTTCAAATTTGTTCAATAATGTGTTACTTGGTGTTTAGGGGTTTAAGGCAGTAATGGAGTAAAAGTACACTTTTCAATTTAGATAGATAATTGTAAAATCTTCCTTATATTAGGCAATCTCAATCTGCTTAACTACAAAGTTTCTTTGAAGGTTCACTAAACCTTTGCATCTCTGATTGGCCGTATAAGTCTCACAGCTATGGATGAATTTCTGAGCAAGCCTTAGGTGCTCCCCTGCTTTGACTAGTCTGCCATATCCTAGGCAACTGTCATATAATAGGTACTAAAAAATTGTTTTTCCAGTTGAACGAAACAGAATTGAATTATGCTTTCTAAATATTCATACTTCCCCCTCCACCCCAACTTGGCCTTGTGTTTTATATCTATGAAAGAAAATAAGGGCTAATACCACAATTCGAAGACCGAACACAGCAGGCAGGCTGCTCATGCAACTATCAACCTACACAAGTATTTCAGCAAGCCTTCCACATAAAGCAACTAGGCCACCAGAAAAACCCCCACGCACAAAACCACTTTTAGCCTGTGGAATTACCACATACTCTAAATACTTGGAAATTAATATAATGTGCAGTGCATTTAGTTACTTGTCAATCAGGGAGTCAAGGACTACACTGGTGACTGAATCCAGACTTTCTGTGAAACAATGACTATGTCTATATTAGCAAGTGGTGTGTACACACACCACAAATCTTGAAAATAAAAGCTGATGTTGAAGATTTGACACACACCATAGGTATTTTTTGGGCTTTACTTTGGACTTGCTTTAGCCATAAATGAAATGCCTAGTAGTAGTTGGAGCATTTTTGCTTTAATTTCATGTGAAAGTAGTGTGGCTTTTGTGCTTCAAGACTGCTTTGTGACGTGAACCAATGAGTAGTATATGGGGAAAATTGTAGTATTTGCCCCAAATTTGTGCCTAATTTCAGCCCAAATGCTAATGCAGATGAATTCAACACAAATGTTTTTTATTAGGCCTCTGTGTGAGAGCATGGATGTAAAGGACAGGCCAAGACATAAACATTTTTTAAAAGTTTTAAAAATTGAGAAAAAAATGTTTAAAAATTGCTGTTTAATGTCAAACACAGAACACAGGAGCAAGTTCTCAAGGACCTCAGAATCAGTGTAGTGATTTCTATCTATGAGGCTGCTGCAACACATGTAGAGATCACAAATCAAAACTGGAAGAACTTGATATTAATTCTGCACACCTCTAGTTCACTAAACAAAGCCTAGCTTAAGAGAGCTGGATAACCACATGAAGAGTGGAACATAAATGTCATAATGAGTATAAATTCATAGATGTGTGTGCTCCAGAGATGAGTGGGGACAAGTTCAAGAAGTCCTTACTAGTAATGAAAGCAGAATTGAGTTGGAAAGACTCCCTCTTCCTGGGCAGAAGGACAAAGCAGCAAGAGTCTTCAAAAAAAAAAAAAGAGCTGAGTAGCACATGGAAGATTCTTCTTAACACCTTTTTGTGAGCTTTGGAGTGAGGGAAAGAAATTAATATTAAAATGTCACCAGAACCACACTAAAAATGAGAGATGCAAATCAACTTTGTTGTTGTTTTTATTACTATATCAAATTTATTTGAAATAATTTTTAAACAGAAGTGTCGAGTGCAGATATTAAATTTATTATAATTATCACCTTGGTCATTGATGTGGGTGAGACTTAACTCATACAATTCACCCTTCCAATTCATGGACTTTTAAAGTTATTTGGCTTTTTATATTAGCAACAATGATTCTAAAAGAAAAGATCATACCACTAGTGATTAAACTTTTTCATAGTATATAATGGAGAAAAATTCTGCAGAGAAAAATGTGTCAGTATCTCTAATCTTAGAAAACATTTGCCTTCAAGGTGGGGACACAGATATTACAGATAAAAACCAACCACCCTTCGAAAGTATTCTAAATAATTTTATCATATAAGCAATTTGATATGAAATAGAAAAGCAACAAAATATTCTGCTAAAATCTGATAGGAAAAACTAAGAAAAATAGTATCAAATACAGTTTTCTGAGCTTGAAAAATCTATGCCAGCTTGTTTTTATGAAATTTTCATGAAATCAAAGGTTTTAAGACATGAATGAATGTATTTAGACTTACTGGACACACGGTAATGCTTTGCTCCCATTGACTCATACTCAGACTTTCTTCCAGTGTTGTGCATTTCTTCATCACCATGTCCCAGCCACAATAGGGGTCTTGGGATCCAATGCATGCACTGTAAATGAAAACCAATCAGATAACTCAGACATTTATCTTCATTTGTACTGACCAAAGATCTCTAAATAACTATGTAGCACTTCTTCATATTTCATAGGCAGAAAGTGAAATTGTGGTATGGCAGATGAAATGACCAAACAGAAGAAAAATTAATTTGAATACCTACACAAAGCCAGGATTTCTTTAAATGCTTTCTTTTCTGTATGTATGCATGGTATGTTGCCAAGAATGATTATTGTACTTATTTACTAAAGAATTACAGGATTTCATAAAAAGTGTATGTTGTCTACTTCAAGCAAAGATTTCAGGAGTTATAGTTCTTAGTCTTTTCTATCAATTTCGGAATTACATATATCTTCTTTGGCAGAAATCAGAGGACAATGTCTACTCTTTGAAAATTAATTAGGAAAAAACCTTCTGATCTATTTTCTGCACTGGTGTAAAATCTGTGGAAATAAACTCAAAGAGGCACTGGTGGCTGCCATCACACCCCTTACACATCCCGTGCTGCTCTTAACATTCCCTGTTAGTGGCACATGAGGAGGGAAAAAAAGGGTTAGAGAGAAGGATGGCAGTCTAGTTTCATACAGACTCTGAAAGACCCACCGTGCAAAACTAGAAGTTCATTTCTCTACTAAATAGCAGGTTTCTCTTGCTACTGACAGGTAGAACATTAACAGTCCAGGCAATACGTCTGCAGCTTCACAGCTAAAGATGCATAAGAAAGGAGGTGGAAATCCCATTATAGTGAAGCACAACATAATTTGTGTTTTTTGACCATGGCATGATCTACTCAACACCTGGTCTACTGACACCTGAAGGGATGCACCTTTCTCAGAGGGGAAAAAGGAGTTCTAGCACAGGAGCTAGTGGGGCTTTTTGACAGAGCTTTGAACTAGCTTGGAAGGGAGAAGGGACAAAGCCAGGCTCGCCAGTGATGAGTGATGGGATTGTGCACCAAAACTTGAGGAAACGAACACTCATGGGATCACTCAATCTGCCTCAAGAGGTGTTGGCTACAATGTACCACCCCTGAAATGTTTCTACACCAATGCACCCTGCATGAGGAACAAACAAGAGGAGCTTGAAGCTTTGGCCCAGTCCCAAAGATTTGACATCACTGTCATAACCCAGTGGGATGAAACCTGTGACTGGAATGCCCTATTGGACAGTTACAAGCTCTTCAGGAGAGACAGGCAGGGTAGAAGAGGCAGAGGAGTGGCATTGTATGTAATAGAAGGGTTAGAATGTATGGAGCTCACAGCTGGCACTGGCACAGTTGAGAACCTCTGGGTAAGAATCAAGGGACAAACAAATAATGTGGGTGTCATCATGGGAGACTGCTATATAGACCTCTCAGCCAGGATGATGATGCTGACAAATTATTCTTTGAGGAACTACGGGACACTTCCAAGTCAAATGCCCTTGTCCTTATGGGGGACTTCAACTTGCCAGACATTAAGTGGGAGTGTCACACAGCTGGTACAACCTGAGCCAGAAAATTCCTAAAAAGCCGGGATGACAACTTTATGGAACAGGCCCTAAGGGACCCGACTAGGGGAGATGCACTCCTTGATCTGCTGCTTGTCAACAGTGCAGATCTCATGAGCAAAGTGGAGATTGGTGTCCATCTTGACCATAGTGACCATGAAGACATTGAGTCTAAAATCTCTGTTGACAGGAGGAAAAGTGCCAGCAAAACCTCAACTCTGGACATGAGGAGAGCAGACCTTGGGCTGTTCAGGGAATTAGTATGTAAGGTCCCCTGTGGAAAATTTTTTTGCAGGTGGTGGGGTCCATCAGTGCTGGTCACTCTTCAAACATCACCTCCTAAGGGCACAGGAGCAGCAATTCCCAAATGTCAGAAGTCAAGCAGGTGAGGCAGAAAGCCGGCTTGGCTGAACAGGGATCTTGTCTTGGAAATAAGGCAAAAAAGGAAGGTGTATACCCAGATGAATCAAGGTTAGGTGACGTGAGAAGAATTCAGAGATGCTGCCTGCTTCTGTAGGAAGAAAAGTCATGTGGTCAAAGCTTAGCTGGAGTTGAAGCTGGACAGAAATGTGAGGGACAATAAAAAGAGTTTTTCAAATGTATTAATGTCAATAGGCAGTAAAGAAACAAAATATCATCAGCTCATTATAAGATGAGGATTGTCACCTCACAAACAGGGACAGAGACAAGGCAGAGGTGCTTAATGCTTTCTTTGCCTCTGTCTTCAACATGGATGATGGACCAAGGGGCATCTTCTCAGAGAAGCTGAGAGAGCTGGGATTGTTTAGCCAGAAGAGAAGGCTCAGAGAGGATCTCATCAGTATATACAAAACCCTGAAGTGAGGGTACAAAGAAGGGGATCCATGGTTTTTTCAGTGGTGCCAAGTGACAGGACCAGAGACAATGAATACAAATGAAACACAGGAGGTTTCAACTGAACATCAGGAGACACACTGTTATGGTGAGGGTGACTGAGCACTGGCACAGGTTGCCCAGAGAGGTTCTAGAGTATCCTTCCTTGGAGATACTCAGAAGCCACCCAGACATGGCCCTGGACAACTGACTCTGAGTGGCCCTGCATGAGCAAGAGGTTGGACCAGATGACCACCAGAGACCCCTGCCAACCTCAAGTGTTCTATGATTCTGTCCTCAGAAATTTAGGTGCTTTATTCCTATTTATATTTATCTATGGCATTCCTCATGTAGTTCCATGTTAACATCTGACTAAACACAGACTTACTAATTCCCTAGAGGCTATTCCATAATACCATCATAGAGGATTCTTAGTGCTTATAAATTGCAAAGAAATTGTTTCTGCAGTACACTTGGCAACATGGATTGCCAGTACTATGTAGGAGCATAGCTCCCGTCTGCAAAATGGGCAAAATGTGAGACATAATAATCAAAACTCCACGAGTACCCCTAATTAGGCTGCCAGTTCAAATATAAAGCTTTTGTTTTAGGAGATTCAGTGTTCAGGAGAGAGTTCCCACTGATGTCTCTTGCAGCTGTGAGTACTTAGCATTTTTGTAACTCAGGCTGCACGTTTCCATTTAATTATCTAGAAAGTGAGGAGGAACATTAATGCAAATTGTGGAAAGTTTAAAGTGTCTTGGTCTTACAATGTTTGCAAGATACGATGTCCAGTGTTCTCCTTCAGAATACCTCTGATAAAGCATGTGTTTTATCAGAAAAGAATACAAAATTAAATTAAAGGCTGACATAATGCAAAACTGGCAACATTAGACGTGCTAATGTTGAAGTGAAAACTTCTGCCTCGAAGATGATCTCACCTTTCTAACTTCAAAGTGTTCATATTTATAAATGCAGTTATTATACTTTAGAAACTTTTTATTAGAAACAAAAATATTTTAAGGTCGGTATCCTTTTACTTAGAACTGTACTCCCTCTTTCGTGGGAATAAGCTGATCCTTCTCCCACTCTGGTCTTAGACCCCATTTCCTCTTTTGATTTTGCTTCCACTTTACCTTCCACTCAGGCAAATCAAAATGGCTTGCACTTTTCATTACAAGTCACTGAGAAGTTATAAATAAGGAGCTAAAAACATACTTTGACTGTTCTTTTTACTTTCTGGTATCAAAACAGGTCCTAGTTTCATGGAAGAAATAAAAGTTCTTGTACTGCCAGGACAAAGTATGTTTAATCAATTTGTGGACACTGAACATGGTCATTTCAGTAGATGACCAGCTTTGGAGAGCACTGCAACAAAATAAAATGAGGTGAATCTTTTCAGAATTTAGTTAAGAAAGTCCACTGAAAAATGGATGTTTTGTCTGTTCATCCCAGTAGGCACCAACCCACATCTGTAAGTATTCACATGAGTTGTCCCAGCACTGCTAAAACTGGCAATTTTGTTCGGGAGGGAAATTCAGGAATAAAAGTGAATCAGTTCATTCTAAGACTCTTGATGCCACTTACCCTATCGAGTCAGCATTCTCTACAAAAACATTCAACAGCTTTTGGCTTCTACTGATTGATTCTAATTTTTCTTTATGTTGTCACTTCACATTTTTTACCAAACATAAATGTTGGGTAGTTGAGTATCTCTCCTGCAAGGCATTCATTTGGCTGTGATGATTTAGTATGCCTACTGACAGTGATGCAACACTTCAACAATGGATTTTGACTGATTAGTAACAGAACTGTAAGTCACCTCACTCTAAAGCAAGTCAGCAACAGCAGGTCTTTTTCTTCAGCTATTTTATAATTATCACCAAGTAGGTCAGCAAGACTGCTCTACTTCACTTATATTTGAGATGATTTATTGAGACAGAAAATGAGGCAGAATTGAATATAACTCAGAGCAAAATATATAAAAAATCCCATACAGATTTAGACTAAAAAGAATTTATGTGTGCACCAAAGAACAAAAAACCCTGTAAGTTTAAAAGCTATACCCTGATACCCTTGATTTCAGAGAGATTTTTAAATCTCCTTTCAGGGGAAGAATATATTCCCACATGAATATACATTGCAAGTGCTAATCAGGTATCCTCTGGAGACGTTACATTTTATTCATACAATATAAATGTAAGAGGTGCATCTTCCAAGACTGTTCAATGATATTTTTTTTTGTCTTTACCTATACACAGCATTTTGGAGAACAGACTCTCTTGACCCTTTCAATAATTTCTACTGAAATATCCATGCTGCATAGTTCCAATTACCATCAACTGTGATCTGACACTTTGTACACCAGGAACTGAACTGGGGTCACCATCTTATTTCACAGAAGCCAGATTCATCACTGCAAATTTGAAGAGAAAACGGAAGATAAAAGCCTGACTCATGTTCCAGATGCATGGTTCTATCCATTTCTGAATGAATTCATGAATCTAATACTACACTTCTGTACAAATATATCTATCAGTGTTTTCATTACTATTGGTTTTGCACTGTATACATTTATATGTGTGTGCAATGAAGAATAGGGATCTAAAGATACAGATGAATGATGCAGAAGAGCATAAATGGTAGGGACACAAT